AGGGACTCTCTAGTTGGGCTTCCAAACCGACTTGAGGTTGAGACTGGGACCGAGGGGCCTTGGGTGGGAGTGAGCATGGACTTGGCTGGTGCCAGAGGGGCCATCCAAGGAAGTGCTCAAGAGCAGCTCCCACTCCCGAAAGGGAAACCGACTGCGGTGCTCCCGGCTCAGGTGGAGTGGTGCCCCACTTGAGTACCTTGTGGCTCATTGGTCCTCGCCCTTCCGGGGGCTTGGGCCTTCCCTTCGGGATGGAAGTGCGGGGGTAGAGGTACCCATACCGAGCCGTTAGGCCACGGTGTTTCGCCCCGAGGTCCCGAAGCAAGTGCTGCACCCAAGGCTTGGGATTTAGAGGGTTCCATGATCAAGTCTTGTGGTACCAAGAGGTGTTAGGAATCTGGAGGCTTGGTGTGCTTGGCTGCTTGTGCCTGCGGGGAGTGTAGCCAAACCTTAAGTCTAGTCTAACCCGGGGAGGGGGATTGGGAGAGATTTGGGAATCCGTAGATGGATGGCTAACACTCCGTTGCTCGTGCAGTGAGTAGCTGAAACCAAGTAGGACCAAGTAGGAGCTGGTACCATAGGCTAGAACCTTGGCGAGGGAACTTAGCACAAGCCAAGGCAGAGTTGGTCGGATAGACGAGGTAAGCTGGCAAATTGGAAAAGAAAAATTTGTGGCTTACAATTTGGTATCGGAGCGGTCTCAGGTCCGACTCTGTTGGTTGGCTAAGGGAATCACACCATATGTTGATTGACATCTGGCTGGTCCAGTTTGCTCCCACTGGGCTCGACCCGAGGGGTAGGGTGTCAAGAGAGCGGGGCTCTCGGGAGAGCTGCGGCTCTCAGCTTCCGTTCACGAGGGCGTGAACTTGCAGGGAAGCGTGGTGGATTGTAAGCAACCAAAGAGAACGACTTGAGAGACGATCCATAGGGGTTCAAATATAGAGGGAAAGGGCCCATGAACAAGAGTGCACCCCCTTTTCCAATCGGTTAAGGGTCTTGGGATATTTGGGGTTAAACGTTCTTGGGTTTGAATAGTACTGGGCTGGGTGACCTCCCGGGAAGTCCAAACTCATGAGTGTTTACAGCATGTTGGTTATAATGGTTTTACAAGTGGTGAATTATGGAATGGATAACAATGAAGCACTAAACCATTTTGTCTAGGCTTCTTATTGATAACTCTAGTTACAATGCTCAATGCTTTTCTAGGGAACTTTGCTATTGTTCCTTGAATAACTTGATGTTAAATTAGTTTTGAGTTTAGTCGGAAAAAGTGTGGTATGAGCCTATCTATGTTATAAACAAATTTAGTAATATTGGATGTTATAAATCTATATTGGTGGGGTATGACATTTATGTTGTATTTTGTTAAATTGGGTTAGCATTTGATACTCATATAAACCTTGTAGTAGTGACATGGGTATTGCTCATGGTGTTGCTCGATTGATGATTAAGTTATTATGATTTCTATATCATATCCATATGATTGTGAGTAATGTGTTTACGAAGTTGCTTAATTAAATAATAATTAACCCCAAAGTGGTTGATAGTAAAACTAATCTACTTGCAAGTAATAACATTGAAGTAGTTTTGACTTAATTCTCAATAATGATTTATTATATTAAGTTTGAGTTGATACCTTGGTTCCTTGGGAATTTAGTGATGGAAAAGGCTATGGCATTTATTTGCTATAGCTTGTTGATAAATCTGTTAGCACATAAAGTAGGTTGTTGGATGGAAAAGGTATGTAGTTAAAGCATTAACTTTGTTAGCACTTGTGCTAATGGAAGTGGCATTGTTATATTGAGTGATAAGGAATTTTCTTTAGAACTTGATTTTCCATGTCAATTTTTTTTATTAATGTTTTGGTTTTACATTAGATCTTGAGAGTGATTGAAAAAGAGTGTTAATGCAATATGGATATCTGAAGATGTAATCTTTATGATCAAGTTTTGGGTATTTATTTGCATTTTACAGATGTCAGTATTAGATATAAAAAATATGGGTAAGATGTTCAATGATTAGACATACTGTTGGGTCATGAAAATTTATGTTAGGGTGAACCTATATAAAGTTGTTGGTAGGAGGAAGTTGGTTGAGTTATGAGAATTTATATTTCTAGACTAAAAGTTATTCTTTCTCTAAAATGGAAAAATTTTCCACAATTTTTCTTAAACTTTTTCAATGGTTGATCTATTTATCATTTTGCTCAAAAACCATTCTATTTTCATAAGCCAATATAAACTAGTGAAAAGGTTAAAGTTGATTTTAGTTAGCTTAGACATTAGTAAATAGTTTGTATGATGCGACCCAAAAGGGATGCTAACTTTTGGGGCTAAGATAATTGAGTTGAATAATGTTTCAAGTTGGTGTAGAAAAATGGCTATTGCACTTTTTTAGAAAAGTGACCCTTGTACCTTTCCTTTATAGCATTGTATTTGGTGGCAAATTGCATTTTTCATTTTATTAGACTCTATGAGAGTAGTGAGCTCTCACTGATTTTGATTTGGTTTTAGTTGCCTTGTGCCGTAGTTAAGGATGGTGATATCCAACTTAATTGTTTGAGGTTGAGATGTTAGCACTTGTACTATAGCTTTGTTTATTAAGAGGTTGTATACCAATATAAGTTTATGTCATGGTCTTCACTTTAGTTGCGATTGAGTGTTAATCATATATAGCTAACCTCTTTAATGCATACTCAAAGATATTGGGTATACATGTTGGTGAAGTAATTGTTGTACAATTGAATTTGAGTAATCACTTAGTTTATGCTTATTCATATTCCTATATCTTTTGGTGGAGTAATTGTTGTACAATTGAATTTGAGTAATCACTTAGTTTATGCTTATTCATATTCCTATATCTTGTACCTAGGGTGTTACCTTTTTGTTGGATAAATATATGACTCAATGATATGAGTTTTGTGTTTGGGTTTTGTGAAAGGCAAGTTAAAAAGTGATTATTAGTTGTTTTGTGATTAATGATTATTTGTAAACTTCATCGAGGATTTTTGACACTTGCTTCACTCAATGAATATTTATCAATGATGAACTTGCTTTACCGAATAGTGTTACAGAGGATTATATTATTTGACTTATATGGTTTTTCCATGTTTGCATATCATTTCCATCTCTGTTAATATCATTTAGCTATATTTAGTCTATGGTGTTAGATTTCATTGAGTTTTGGAATGCTCTTGTCCCTTTACTCTTTGGGTTGTATACTTAGGAGTTGCTCTGTACTCTAATACTTCCACTCCTTAGTTCCATGCTTAAGAATTTAGCTCTGTTTTTTCATTTAGTGGCCCAAAGCCTTAAAATTTAGGTTTCACTCTACTGTTCTTAGACATGTGGCATATGGCACATAAAGGGTTTAAGTTATATTTTTTAGTTATTTTATGATAAACCATCATAGGATAGAAGGTGAAAACCATATGCACTATAACTTGCTCTCACTCCATGGTTGGGGTTGGACTCTAATCCATCCCTTCTACCCCTTGCTTCTAAAGAATTTTTTTTAGAAATGTCAAGGCAAAAAGGAAAAAATAAGAAAAGATAAGGAAAAACAATTATAGAAGACAAACTCATGGAACAGGGAAATACTTAACACCAAAATTGATCAAAAACTTAACTAATAAAACAAAAGTAAAATTCTCAACTTCATGCACATATTTAACATCTAAATTACTATGAGGACTCGATAATGTCAAAATGATATGGAATCCATTTGAGCTTTTAATCCCACAAACTTGATCCTTAAACATTTCCCAAAAATTAAACTACATTATTCATAGCTCGTCAATCGATGTCATGATTACATTCCATATCAAAAAGATGACAAAACACTAAGAAGAAGACAAACTGTGTAATCACGTCCCATGGAAATTGGAAATGGCAACACACAAAAGATGGGTGTGACATCAATATAATCACACCCCACAAAAGTTCAATCTGATAAAGTAACATTAGTAGCTTCAAGTTATATACTTCTTGATTGATGATGGCATGGAAGAAAGAGTAGATCTAAGTACAATGATAATTAGAATTCTAGCAAAGAGTTAATATATCTAGATCTAAAAGAGAATGAAGAAATAAGAACAAAAAACACAATCCTAACCACTAGAGCAAAGCATTGCTAAAAAGCTTTGTCTTTTATGTATAAATTGCAATGCTTCTCTCCTTCATGAATGTAAAAAATAGGTATATTAATTGAAGTTTAGATCTGTTTATATACAAAAATGGATGGACCAGATTTAATTCCTAGTCTATATGTTATAGTACTATAATTAGTCTATTACCTAGCCAGGTAACATATGTATATACATATATGTATTTACAAATCTTCTATACTATAACATAGAAGATAATTAATATTTTATTAATATTACATTTTATACTTATAAGATTGATAAAATATATATATAAAATATTAAAGATGTTAAAATGTAAAAACACATTATAATTAATATATTTAAATAAATATATATTAAAATAATAAATTAAAATTAAGCAAAAATTATGTTATTTTTAATTTTAATTATCATTAAAAATATTGATAATAATTTTTATATTTTAAAAATAATATCTTTTAAAATAGCAAACAATTAGGTATATTATGACTATGATACTTCACCAGTTTGTAAATATATATTATTATTATTTGATAGAAAAGAGTTACAAATTGAACAAGTTTTCAAGAAATGAAAAGTTTCTTAAGCGTTATTAATCTCCAAAATTTTTTTAAAATTCTCACTCATAAAATATTAAAATCTTAAAAATACACAAAATAGAATATAATTATAAATTAATTTTTTGCCAACTTGGTTGATTCTATATAGAAGTTGATTTCTTACATCTAAATATTTATTTAGAACTAAACATTCATTCTTCTTTATAAAGGGTTTGCATCTTAATAGGCGCGCTTATCCGGATAAGGTATATGCGAGGATGGATGTCTGGTATATACGAATCCCCTAACGAACAAGGTTAGCGTAACCTAGGGTTTAGTCCCCTCTCCAGGTGTAGGTCTCGGGTCTATCGCCAGTTCATTCGAGGATGAGATTGTCTGTAGAGAATTCCAGGTACTGAAACCTTGATTCTTCTCCAGCGGCCGTATGGAAGCTCTCACATCGGCCAAGCGGTCGTTCCACGGCAATGCGGTCGTCACGGAGCTCTGTGGATCGCTGGAGACCTCTCTCTTGCTGCGGCCGCGGCCGGAGAGTGTGATTCTGGACAGGGATGGATCGCGATCAAGAAATTTCCGCTCGCACAGGAAGCTGGTGTCCAAATGCCGGACGCTCTCGCCGATCTCGGAGAAGAACGCCGTGTGTAACGGCGGCAAGGGTTCTTCTTCACTGTCGCGCAAGAATTGGAGGCTGGAGGAGGAGCTGGAGAGGCTAACGGATTTAAAGGCGAGGCTAAAGGCGTGTAAGAGCTTGAGGGAGAGATGTCTTCTCGTCGGGAGCCTTCCTCGCGTCCAGGCAGTGTTCTCGTTCCAACAGGGCTCTCTTTGCAATGAGGTGGTGGCTGTGGCGATGAGAAAGCTTGGGGACTATGAGCTCTACTTGCTCAAGTGCCTTGTGGCGATCGGGCAGGGACATATCCTTGGTTTGGAAGACGAGGGTGGTGGTGTCGCCGACGATCACAGGAAAATTCTCAATGGTTGCAATGGCCTTGGTGGTATGAGCTTCGTGAATGGATCGGAGAAGAGTGTATTGATGGGAACGCTCCAGCTTATGACACAGCTTATAGAGTCCTTTGAAGATGCGAAGCCTTCCTCAGAGTTGATACAGTGGCCATTGAGTTTGGACGTCACGGCAGAGTTGCAGAGAAAACGCCGGCGTGGAGAGCCGGATGAGCGCGAGGTTTTGCCGAAGCTCAAGAGCTTTGTGAGAGTGTTGGATTCTCTGGAGCGGTTTTACGATTGTATAGGCGGCATTGTTGGGTAAGTCACGGTGAAACTCGTAAGATTGTCTTGGCTAACTGTGACTTTGCTGTCTAGGTACCAGTTGGCCGGGATGGAGCTGATACGCTCGTCCGAAACTGGGGAGATTGGATTTTCGGCGACACGCAGTGCTCAACAGTCATTTTATCACGTCCCAGAAGGAAAAGATCTTTCAAAAGACACTGATTTTGCAACTCAAGCAGCTGGCTGGGGCGTGAAAGTAAGCGCTTGTTTTTCTTTCTGAAGGTTTTGGCTTAGCCATATTATGCTGCAGCGCTTGGCAGAAATTGGAGAAATTTATCCTCTAGGTGGAGCTGGTGACCGCTTGGGACTTGTCGACGACGTGACTGGTGAAAGCCTTCCTGTGGCAATGCTGCCATATTGTGGTCGGACTTTGTTGGAAGGCCTCATACGCGACTTACAGGTTCTAGCCTACCTTGAATTGATGTGGAGCTAATTCACTTCCTGTTCCTACAGGCTCGAGAATTCTTCCACTTTAAGCTATATGGCTCACAGGTGATCACTCCGGTGGCAATCATGACGAGTGCAGCAAAACGGAATAACGAGAGAGTAAAAGACTTACTCGAAAGTCACAGATGGTTTGGCAGAGGAAGAGATAATTTTCAGCTCTTTGAACAGGTGAGAAATCTTCTTGTCTAGTGCTAGAGATTCACATTACACAAATTTCAGCCTTTGGTGCCCACAATAGCTGCAGAAAACGTCCAATGGGTCGTGAGAGGTCCGTTGGATCCGATGCTAAAGCCAGGCGGCCATGGAGTCATTTGGAAGTTGGCTAAAGATTCAGAATTATTCAAATGGTTTTATGACAAAAACCGGAAAGCTGCTGTGGTACGTCAAATAAGGTATCTATCTTGCGTTTCTTTTAGATTTTGACCATATATTCCGTGCAGCAATCCAGTTGCAGCTACTGATGTTACTCTTCTAGCTTTGGCAGGTGTTGGTTTGCATCAAAACAAGGTACTTTTACGTTTTCGTTTTCGATATGGAGGTTAAGCAAGCTTGTCAACAGAAATTTGGTTTTGCGTCTTGTGACCGCAAAGTTGGTGCCGCCGAAGGTGTCAACGTGCTGATGGAGAGCAAAACGGAAGATGGCCGCTGGAGATATGGCACAACATGCATCGAATACACCGAGTTTAGTAGGCTTGGTATTGCAGATGTCCCAGTTTCAACTGGCAGGCAAGAAATATGTATGATTTTGCTCAGCATCGGTTTTAACTTGCCTTTCTTTTACAGCATGCAAGCCAGGTTTCCTGCAAACACAAATGTTCTTTTCGTGGACCTTGAGTCAGTTGAAGAGGTGGCATCACGCAATGACTGTGCTTCTTTGCCTGGGATGATAATGAACTTGAAGAAGCCTGTTACGTTTACGGACAGCTACGGTGTAGATCAAAGGTTTGAGTTGAGGTTTCTCTCTACGTTTATTAAGAGTTCTCTTGAACAGTATTCGTGCAGGAAGAATCGAGTGCACAATGCAAAACATTGCGGACTCACTCCAAAACCATTATCAGCATCAATTGACGTCCATTGATCACGGTAGAAACAATCCGACGTCTAATTTGAAGATTTTACATTGCTTTTAATCAGATAATCTCGACACCTTTATTATTTACAATCAACGAAGAAAGGTAACATCTTCGGCAAAGAGGCGCAGGAAACTCGACGATCAAACACTCCACCAGGTACACTCGTATTTCTTAAAGAAGTGTTATCATGCTTCTTTCCTCGACAGACACCAGACGGGTCATTTCTTGATATTATGAGGAATGCGTTTGACCTTCTGACGTCTTGTGGAGTGGCGATAGACGAGGTGAGACAAACAGGACTTTCTGTTCTTCTCAACACGCTTGTGAACATGCAGATGGAATCAAATCAATGCTACATTGACACAGGCCCTCCATTCATTGCTCTTCTACATCCAGCTATCGGCCCATTGTGGAACATCTTTCGTCAAAAGGTAACACTGCTTGCTTTCTTGTTGTCTCTCTCAGAGGCTAAACTAAAAAGACTTGTCTCGCAGATTTATGGCGGGTCCATCCGAAAAGGATCAGAGGTGCAGTTAGAAATCTCAGAACTTTCATGGACCAATGTCGATGTAAGCATTGTCAAATTTACACTTCAAAGAATAACTTAACTTTTGTTACTTGCAGGTAAGTGGTAGCTTGGTGGTAGAGGCGGAAAATATCATGGGAACCGTAAAGGATGGCATACTTCACTACGGCGAGGGGTAAAAGCTTTCCTCGGTCACGTCAAACAATCACTGAGGCAAGCTTTTCAGGTTGGGGAGGTGTCGCTTCCACAATGTCCAAGTTTCCAACCAAGGAATCGACTGGAAGTGCTCCACCAACGTGTACTGGCAGAACAAAGTGAGCCGCCACGAGTCTCTTAAGATCATCCTCAAAGGCTGCTCGGAGTTCGATGCCTCGGACGTTGTTATAAAGGCAAGCCTCATCTTTTTCTTAGCGAGAAACGAACGAACCTTGTAATGCTGCAGGGCTCCCACGTCTTTGAAGTACCAGACGGACACAAGATGCGAGTAAGACGATCAGGACCAACAGGTAAAAACTCTCCAAAGTTTTGAGATACGAGAGCTCTAAACTCTAGAAGTTCCTTCTACAGGATTTTCTTGTACACTAGAGCGATTGCCAGAGAGCTCACGATCGTGGGCTTGGAAATACGCAATGCGAGAAAACGGAGAGGTGGAGCTGGAAATGGTGGAAAACTCCAGCAAAACGCCACAACTAAGGGCTTCATTCGCTCGATGAAGTATATTTTTCCATACTATTTTTTAAGAGTTAAAGCAGACGGAATATCCCTTTTCATAGCATTTGTCGTAGAATATCCTGTTCTTTCAAAACTCTAACAGAATATACTTGCAGCAAGAGTTGACAGAATATACTTCAAGATGGCGGGGAATATTACCCAAACATTTTATTTTGCTCGAGCGGAGGGGGTTTAGTGTTTTCCATGGCGGACGATGCGATGCTAGTGGATTTCCTGGCGACGCTGGACGACTACATTCCCGCGATTCCGGAGGAGCTGGTGGAGTACTACTTGGCCGCGGGGGGATTCCAGGCGCACGACTCGCGCCTCACGCGCCTGGTGGCTGTGGCGACGCAGAAATTCGTGTCCGAGGTAGCGTCGGACGCGCTCCAGCACAGCAAGGTCCGCAGCAAATCGGCCGCCGCGGCCCCCTCCTCGGGCGGTAGCGCCAAGGATCCCAAGCACGGCGGGCGGATTGTGCTCACCAGCGACGATCTGGCCGCGGCGCTGAGGGAATTTGGGGTCAATGTGAAGCGGCAGGAGTACTATGCGGATTCTGCCGTGGCTGGCAGCGCCGCCCAAGCGGCTCCGCCGACGACGCAGCCGCCCCAATACGAGCAGCAGCTCCAGCAGTGATGGGTGTTTATTAGGGTTCTTCCGGAAATCACTGAAGGGTCAAAAGAACAAAGGATACTTTTTGACAAAATCTAACTTACAAGAGCAATATTATTTTTTTGCTGGAATTAACTTCTTGAGCATTGTTTTTCCTAAACCGGAAAATCATTATGCACATGCAAAATTTAAGGTTTTTATCACCATAAAAGTTACAATGTTTGAAAAAATCACCAATTTCAATCAATCTATCAAATGACCTTAGCAGATGGTTGTCTTAGTAAGCACTTTTTGCAAGGTTGAGGATGACAATGGACATGTTGTCGTTGGCATCCACCTTTTGGATCAAACCTTGCATATTTCCTCCAATTCAACTTCCTTTCTCACCTGGCTCGCTACAAAGTCAACAATCACCTCCATCCAGATTCCATCCGAGCTCAACACTAGAAAATCGTCGTCGCTTGTGAGCTCATCTCTACAACCTCCAGAACAGCAATCACGATCTGCTTGTCTGCAGCAAGCCTGGAATCGCCCTTGAGCTTGCCAATGGATTGTGACATTGCAAGCGTGCACCATTCTAGCACATCCCTAAGCGATCCATTGGGCATTATCTTCCCGCCTGCTGCCTCTATCCGGGACCTCTCCTTGGGGTCCTTGGGCTCATGAGCTCGAGCCAGCTCCACTGCCCTCCCCTTTTCAGACAAGATCACACGAGAGTCCCCCACGCTTGCTACCACCAGAGACCTCTGCTGCGCCTAGACGAGCGCCACCACCGCTGTGCTGCCCGATCCAACCTCTTTCTCCTCCTCCTCCTCCTCCTTGCCATCGTCGCAATCAATCTCTTCCTCAAACCCCATCTTGGTCTTCGCTAGGCCACAATCAGTCCCAGCAGCTAGCAAGCGCTCGTCCATGTCTATAAACACTTCCTCCAAAGCTTCTCTCGCACTCTTGCCTCCTTCCACAATACTCTTGGCTAGGGTAGTGAGCATGTTTGCCAAGCAAAACTTGGCAACCGCATCACCTTCATAGCTATGGAACATTTTAACATATGTAAGAGCCCTTTTTGTAAGTTTTTTAATTGATATATAATCTAATATGAACAATTCTATATTTTAGACTCTTTATAACATCACAATTGCTAAAAACATTCACAAAAAAGTATTCCATGTAACTCTTTTCCGCAATGCCCACTCTTTAATTCTTCATCTTACCTATCAATATATACCCTCTTAAAACCCTTTGACCACATATTTAAATAAGAAAAAAAGGCAAATTGTACAAAGAATACAGCCTAACCCTCCTCTTTGTGACTAGATTTTGTGCTTTCATTTGGCCGACCCCAACGTGCTGCACTCTCGTGTGCAAGCGCTGGCGGGAGCTCTACCACAAGTACCACTTCTTCTCTGTGGGGACAAGGATCATCTTTGCTCTGCTCCACCGCAGGCTGCCTCAAGTTAAAATGCTTGAGCCAAAAACAATTCAAGACCAAATGGTGTTTCTATGGGGAAGTAAAATGTTTGAAGCAAATAAAAGTCAAATAAATGTCTCTAGGTATCTGGTTTGCGTGTGCACATTCAGTCAAGTAGATTGGGGATTCTGCTGGGGCACTTTTCTGGACTTGGTGTCCTGCATGGGCACGCTCGAGAGCCTCCACATTATCGGGGGATTCTACAGCAGCCTACATGTTAGTGAATCGCTCCTCGGCGCCTGTGGAGTCTCTGATTCTCACTCTTCATGCCACCAGAGGCCAATGCGAATGTCGGCTCAACGTCAAGGATTTTGAGGTTGTGTCCAGGGCCCGCCTCACGGTGTCGAGCAGGAGCCTCAAGAGCTTCACCTTGCTGGGACATGGCAGGACACCATTTTGAGCACTTATGAAATTTTCCTCGATACTCCACCTTCGAAGTTGGTCACTTCTTACTGGACATCTCCCTCAGTGTCCAATCAAAGAGCCTGGAAGTCCTGAAGATCGGCAGCCACTACGAGCTCATTGACAGCCAGAGCTTGGTGGAGAGTGGGAGCTGGATGAATTGCTGAGCCTCTTCAAGCTTCTTCTTGTAAGCTTTCAATCCACGTAACTTGGAGGCACTTAATTTCCAGCTTTGGTTGACACTTTACGGGTACCATGGTGGAAACTCCACTGAGAATATCTCTTTCTTGAGGGACTTGTTCAGATACCACTTGTTATCCATTGCAAGGATATGATCGACTGGATACTTCATGGTGTTTTATCCAGGTTGCATGCCAATAAAGTTTAATTTAGTGTTCCTGCGACCAAGAAGGTTTTTTCCTCTCAAAGAGCTCGATTTGTGGATGCATCGGAGAGTTGATCAAGCTCGGAAGAAGAGCTGGTGGATGGCTTGATACTGGAGATATCTCGAGTCGCCATCCTCGCCAGAGGCCAAAGTCGCCAATCTTGTAGACGCCTTCGTTGATGTAGATGTTGTCGGGCTTCACGTCGTGAACGAGGCCGTGCATTTATAAGAGCTGCCATGCAGTCATGAGAAACTAAGAAAAGAATATACTTACTTGAGACGTCACCTCGGTCAGTGTTTTCTTCGTGAATGTTCTACAGCTCCATGTGGATATACAGAAATTCATTCTCGAACCAAGCTCACTACGTTTTCATGGTAACCTGGAAGCTGGATAACTTTAAGCAAGCCTGTGGCAATTGAAAGTAAAAAGCCAACTCACCAAGATACGAGAGAGAACTTTATAAACATAGCCTCATCCTATTTCCTGATACTGGAATAAGAATGAAGACCATATAAATTCTAAGCACCACAAAAACCTTGATATGATGGAACTCCATAAGCGGAAACACATCCTGTGTTCCAAAGCTATGAAAGAAAACTATGAAAAAACAAGATACGTCTCTCTGGAAACACGTCACTGTTAACAAAAGGGTTCGTGACAATGTCTTTTCATTCTCTGCTTCTTGGTTCAAGTATTCAAAGGAGATGCAAAAGAGAACAAAAAAAGATCAGGATTGTCAAAACAAAGCTAGACATTGGTCTTTTAATCACTCACTTTCTCGAGATTGGATAGTCCAAAAAGAGCTCAACACAAGGGCTAGGCCCCTCGTGCACGAGAATGTGTGCCTCAGCCACATCTCTCACGTCGACCTAAGCTTGACAGTGATTCGTGTAAACTTTGGTTGCTCCTGCATGGATATTCACCTTCTTGAAAGTGTTAGAACAACCAATGCTAGATGCTAGAAACAAGCTTTGATAGAAAATTGCCTGTAAGGTACTTGAAGACGTGCGTGGTACTAGCATTCATCGTGCTCTGAAGCATAGTAACGGTGGCCACTATGGTGCCACTTTATTTGAACAGACTTCAATTTGTGATGCTTGTTCCCATCCTTGTGTCTATGACAAGCATCATGATGATTCTCGACAGAAGGATTCCGCGAACGTTTGCGAGACTTGTGCTTGTCATTGTCAAGTCAATGAGCCGCATCAAAGAGCTCCTCCAAACTCTTTATAGGCTAAGAATGACACAAGTGTTGCTACATGCTCTTACTATGAAGGCCATCAATGAAGTAGGACTTGTTCTTATCTGGATCCTTTTGTGAGACACAAAATCCCTAGGCCCCAAAGTGGAGCCAGAAGGGTGCCACGTGGTAGTGGCCAAGGCGAAAGCCAAACGAGCATAACACGTTTGGACTAAAAGCTCCGACTTGGAAGGTCGAGAGCGGGAGTGGAACTCCCAACAAAGTGCTCGAGGAGCGAGCACAAGGCAACCAATAAACAAGGCTCCAAAAAGGGACCCAAAAAGGACTAACACATGACACGTGGAAGTGTCCGAGATGGACCCGAGATGGAGTTCGAGATGGAGTCCAAGGTGGACCCAAGGTGGAGTCTGAGATGGAGTCCGAGATGTACCCGAGATGGAGTCCGAGATGGAGTCTAAGATGGAGTCCGAGATGGACCCGAGATGGAGTCCGAGATGGAGTCTGAGGTGGACCCGAGGTGGAGTCCGAGATGGAGTCCGAGCTGGACCCGAGATGGAGTTCGAGATGGACCCGAGATGGAGTCCGAGATGGACCCAAGATGAAGTCCGAGATGGACCCGAGATGGAGTCCAAGATGGACCAAGACGGAGTCCGAGATGGACCCGAGATGGAGTCCGAGATGGACCGAGACGGAGTCCGAGATGGAGTCCAAGATGGAGTCCAAGAAGGACCCGAGATGGAGTCCGAGGTCGAGATTGAGACCAGGACTGAGACCGAGACCAAGACCAAGACTGAGACCGAGACCGAGACCGAGACCGAGACTGGGACCGGGACCGAGACCGAGACCGAGGCCAAGGCCGAGACCAAGCCCGAGCCCGAGTCCGAGTCTGAGTCTGAGTCTGAGTCTGAATCCGAGTCCGAGTCTGAGTTCGAGTCTGAGAGGGTGAAAGCCCAAAGCGTTCGTCTCCCAGACCCTGGGGGGTTTGGTGAGCT